GGGAGCTGCCTCTTGCCGTGACTCATGGCACCTGGGGGCGGCTGGCCTGGCACCCTGTGCCTGCCCGTGGGAACACTGCGGGCATGGCCACGCACGGCAAGGTGAGGGCAGGACAGGGCAGCCGTGTGCTGCACCCCCATCCTGCTGTGCACCCCTGTCCAGCTGTGCCCCTGTCATCTCTGCCTCACATCCAGCTGTGCTCCCCATTCAGTTGTGCCCCGTCCAGCTCTGCTCTCCATCCAGCTTTGTCCCCTATACAACTGTGTGCCCCATCCAGCCCTGCCTCCCATCCAGCGGTGCCCAGTGCTGATGCTGTGCACACTGGAGGGCATCCAGCTCCAAACTTTCACCCACTAGTGAGGAACGGACACTCCTGCTCATACTGCAGCAGGGCCAGCAGTGTGACTATCAAAGCCAGGTGACATCTGTGTGCTGGCCCAGCACGTCACTGTCCCAACTGGTCGCAGTTCCTCTCTCCAGCTCTGCACATGATTTGCCACCTCACCCACTCCAAGACTCGGATTTTTGTAGGACCTGGGGACAATGTGTCCCCCCAGGAGATCCCACTAGCCTGAGCTCTGATGGGGTGAAGAACCAGCCTGCTCACAGCCATGGCAGTGCTGCCACCACGGGATGGGTCGGATGAGGGTGGAGCACGGGGGGCTCATGCCTGTCCCCAGAGAGTGGATGCATGCCAGTGCTGACACGGATGCAAGACGCCCTGTGAAGCTGTGAGGGAGGTTTGGGGTATGGTGCAGTGCTGGGGAGGGCTGTCTCCTACTGCTTCCTGCAGGCATTGCCACAGGGACGGGATCCTAAGTGCTGATGCCAGCAGTGACCTGTAACAGCCCTGCTGTGACAGGCTGTGAGAGGGATTGGTTGAGGAGCTTTTGGTTTGACAGCCACCACAGGATCATCAGTCTGTGCTGGTTGGAGTTAACTCCCTGTGCAGGGCAGGCAGGGGTAGGAGACGTGGTCACTGCCAGCTCTGAGAGACTCAGAGTGTCCTGCAGCACTTGGGGTGTCCCACAGGACAGTGGCACCCTTGGGAGTGGGGACCAGTGTCTGCTCTTCCCTGCAGACAGCAAACTGGATTGTGCAGGTCATGGAATCACAGACTATCTTGAGTTGTAGGGGACACGGATTGTGCAGGTCATGGAATCACAGACTGTCTTGAGTTGTAGGGGACACATAAAGATCATGAGTCCAGCTCCTCAGTCATTAAGCTTGTGATTAATTGCAGCCTGTAATGGCTTTGTGGAGGCAAAGGGGGGCCAAAGAGTGGCTCTGGTGAAGCTCATCTGTACCTGGGAGCCAGAGCAGGAGCATCCGGGGCAGCTGGATCCCCTTCTGAGAGGCCACAGACAGACCTGGGGGCGTTTGACCCCTCTCCTCTTCCTGACCTGTTTTCTCCTGTCCCTGCAGCAGTGTCGTGTCCCCGGAGCCTGGACTGTGCCCTGCAGCGCCGGGAGTTCTGCCCGCCAGGGTCGGGTGCCTGCGGGCCCTGCCTGGCCCCCTTCCAGGAGGATGACCACGGGCGCTGCGTCCAGAGGCAGCTCTCACCCAGTGGTAGGTGCTCCCACCCTGCAGCAGCCCCTTTACCCCCTGCCTGCACACCTGCCCTGTACCTCTTCAGCTCTAGGTTCTGTGCCTCAGGGCAGTCCCTGCCCCAGCAGCACTCCATCCTCTGCCCTCTCTTCTCCATGGCAGCCACATCCCTGTGGAAATGGCTGCTCTGCTCCCTCTCACCCTGCTTGCTGCAGCTGAGGAGTGGTTTTGGGGCTGGCAGGGAGCACCTGGACCCCACCCTGCTCCACACGCATCCTCCTGCAGCTGCACTGGTGAGCCTGTGTGGCCCTGCCAGCACCCCGGGGGGGCAAGAGCCCCAAGAGAGGGCCTGGGTGGCTGCCATGGCAGTTCAGGGCCTGCCTGACTGCTCCAGGCTCAAAGCTTGGTAGAAGCAGGGGAGCAGCTTTTAGCTCATGGAGCTGTGACTTGTGCCAAGGCAAACAGGTGCCTGTCACCTTGCCCATCCTGGGGCTGAGTTGTGCTGAGCTGATGTTTGGGATTTCAGTGCCTGGTTCCCTTTGGTCTGAGGCATAGGGCTGTAACCCAGGGCTGCCCCTCCTCCTCAGGAGATGCCCAGCATCAGGGCTGGAGCACTGGGCAGGACCCCTGGCTGCGCACTAGGGCACCAAGGGCTGCACAGGTTGTTATTCCTGGCTCCTTTCCTGAGGGATCTGAGGGGCTGTGGCAGCCTGGGTGACTGCTCTGTGCCAGTGGGCATCCTGGGAGCAGCAGTCGGTGGTCACCTAGCACAGCCCCTAGCACTGTGTGCTGCTGCATGGAGAGTGCTCCCAGTGCAGTCACAGTGTCTGTGCCCCAGTGCAGCTGCACACAGTGCTAGGGGCCAGGCGTGGGTGCTTTTTACCCTGATCCTCAACTCTTTGTGCCGCTTGGAAAGCTGTGGCAGAGCTGTTTCTGTGCCCCTGCCATCATGGAGTTTCATATAGATTCAACGAGCAGGTGAATTAAGACAACAATTATGGCTCCACCCAATTATTTTTGCTATCATTAAGGTGGAGCAGCCTTTGTGCCTGGGGAAGGGGACAGGACTGGCTATGCCCTCAGCCTGCTTCTGGTGGGTTCTGCTGGGCACCACCTGGATGTGGGGTGAGGGCTCTGGAGTACCTCTGAACCACCTCCTGCTGCAGTGTATTAGTACCCAGCCCACCCTTCTCCACCTGCTGTTCACTCCTGCTGCCCACAAACTCTCCTGCTAAGGGCATCCAAGTCCTGGGGAGCTCCCAAAACCATGCAGGGTGGCTCATCCTATGCTAGGCTGGATGGACAAGAACTGGTCACTGACCCAAATAGGCAGCTGCCCCCACATCTGTAGGCATGCAGGGGTTCTCCAGGGTTTTGGGGAGTTGTTTTATGTTCTAGAGCACATTCAGGGTCCTGCCAGGGTACATGCAGGGCTGCCCTTGCCCGTGGCTCAGCCCAGGTGGGCACACGGGTAATGGCAGAGCCCTGTGTGCCCTTGGTGCCATTTCTTCTGGCAGGAGGATTACCTCATAAATCAGAGGGGAGACCCCCAAAGCAGGACCCTTTGGCTGAAATGGGAGTGATGGCTGTGGGGATGAGAGGGGATGGCACAGAGATGGGGTCCAGGCTTGGTGCTTGGCAGCAACCAGGGGTCCAAGAGGCAGATCCCCTCTGCCACAGGCTCCTTATCCACAGGTACCAAATGGTTTTAATGGTTGTTTATGGTTTATTTTTTCATGTGAAGTCTTGGGAGCAAATTCCCCTCTCAGAAGGGCTGCACATGCGCTGCATTTCCATAGCAACCCAGCTCCATTCTGAAGGATGTGGTCACAGTTGCATCCTCACTCAGAGTGATGCAGGACCACAGTGTACCATCCTCTGAGGACCCATCCTGGGAGGATGGTGACCATCCAGGGTCTCCCCCAGTCCCATCCTGTTGTCCCAAGCAATGCCACTAGCTTATGGCAGCAAAAGTGTGGGTAACAGGCTAAACAGAAAAGGGGGATCCCCTCCCAAATCCTCTATTTTAGCACCCTGAGGATTCACAACTCCTCTTGGCAGGGAGGCACCAAATGTTTTTCCATGGATTCTTTTGCATTCTGCCTGTGCCTCAGTCTGGCAGCAGCAACGGAGGAGGCTGCGAGAATGAGGATGGGGTGTGATAACTCCATTTGGGGGGGAGATGTGAGATAAACAGGGGTTTCTACTGCAGCTCAAGGATCCTAACCCACGCAAAGCTGTGTGGGCAGCCCCTTAAAGGGTTAGGCGTTCTTGAGCCGCTCGCATCTGCCGATGACGCCGATCCTGGGATCCCAGCTGCTGCTGCTGCGCCATCCCCACGGTTCCTGGCAGGAGTGTGGGCAGGAGCTGGGGATCCGCTGCCAAGAGCAGCTTTTTGGGTGAAAAGCAAAATTCTGGGGTCTGAGGAGGGCAATGCATGTGAGTGGAGTGTTCCTGCCGGTGGTGACAGCATGTGTGGGGCTTTTGATGTACCCAGCACAGCATCAGCACAGAGATGAGATGGGATGTGTGGAATCTCCATGTGCTGCATCCCACAGCTGGCTGCCTGTACCTGTCTAGTGCTGTCTTGCACAAGGGTCTGAGCCCACCAAAATCCCACCCACAGCATGGTGCTGCATGTGTCTGTGCTTTGATAGGTTTGAGTGATGTGCTTTGGGCTGGTGGGTCCCATCCCTGCTCCTGCTTGACTAGCACAGAGCCCCACCAGGGTGCAGGAAATACTTTGGGAAAAGAGTGAGAAGGGGGTCCCAGCTCACAGACATTGGGGTTCTCCTTTCACCACTTGCTGTGCTGCCAGCACTAAGGAGGGCCATCCTGGGGCAGGGCTATAGAAATCAGTGGATTTGTAGGAATTTTGTGCCCTCCTGTGGAGACTTTCAGGTCTCCTTTGCACAGGGCAGAAGCCACACATGTCCCTCCTTGCTGCCCCCAAACCGTGGTGTTAATTAGTGAGACCCCTGCGTATGTCCCAGGGTTGAGCCCCGAGGAGGGGCCGGGGGTCAGAGCAAGAAGGTCGGGGGAGCTGTGTGCCAGCCTGGCCGTGCCGTCCTGCTGCAGCGGTAGTGGGACCTGCCATGAGAGGGCACCCACGCCCTGCACTAGCACTGCCTGCACCCAGCAGTGCCCTGGGCATGTCTTGAGTGCCCTGTGCATGGTGTGCATGCCCTGTGTTCCCTGTGCATGCCCTGTGCGCCCTGTGCATGCCCTGTGTGTGCCCTGTGCATGCCCTGTGTGCCCTGTGCATGTCCTCTGTGTGCCCTGTGCATGTCCTCTGTGTGCCCTGTGCACGTCTCATGCATTCTCTGTGCATATTCTGTGTGCTGTGTGTGCCCTGTGTGTATCCTGTGCATGTCCTATGTGGTCCCTGTGGTGCATAGTCTGTGTTCCCTGTCCCTGCTCTGCATACCCCTGTCCGTACCTCACCTGCCTCCTTGTTCCTCCCCAGCACACACAACTGACTGCAGCAGGGCTGGGGGGGCTCTGCTTTCTGAGATGAGCAGCCCATCTCTGCCTCTCCTGCTCCTGGGGCAGCCAGGAAGGAACTGGGACTCAGCTCCAGTCCCCTATTCCCTGGAGCAGCCCAGGGCTGGTGTCTCACTCACCCACAGTGCCTGGCAGGACCTGGTCCTCAGTGCCCCACAAATGTGGAGTGGCAGCTGTGGCGTCACCGGGGGGAAGTTCCTCTACCACACAGAAAGGTGGGTGGGGAGTTTTCAGCTGCTGGAAGGGAATTTGAGGATAAAGCTGGTTAGTGCAGGTGAGTGGTGTGGCACAGGCAGGACCCCAAATGGCCGTCTCAGTTTCCCGTGTGCTACTTGGCAGGGCAAGAGGCTCAGAGGGACCTGTGAGCTGCTCTGTCTGCTTTTCCAGCTTCTACTTCCTTTTTCCAGCCACATCACATCCACTCTCCTGAAGCAATGTCTGTGACAGCTGCATCTGCTCAAGGCCAAGGGGTGTCAGGGTCGGGCTGGGCTGTGTGCCCCATGCAGCACCAACACAGCCTGGTGGTGGCACACAGGGGAGGGACAGGGCTCTCCCCTAGGTCCCTCGGGAACGGGGACAGGCCTTTCCCTGAGTGCAGTGGGGAGCAAGACCCAGGCTGTCCCCATCCTAAGCACAAGGTTGTCCCCATTCCAGGCACTAGGGTGTCCCTATCCCAGGCTCAGGGCTGTCCCCATCCTGGGCACCAGGTTGTCCCCAGCCCAGCACAGATGTATCCCCATCAGGCACCAGGATGTCCCCATCCTGGCACAGGGCTCTCCCTATCCTGAGCACAGGGCTGTCTCCATGAGGCACCAGGTTGTCCCCATCAGGCACAGGGCTGTCACATTCAGTCCCTTGCCAACTCCCTTGCCCTTTGGGAAGGCTTGGCCTGGTGCTGGCACCTTGTCACCATGGCACTCACTCACTAGGCACAGAACTGGTGGCACAACCTCAGCCTGGCATCATGTGGCCATGGTGCTGCTATGGGATGGGAATAAAAGGGTGCAAAGATCCAGGAAACTTGCGGCTTGTGGGGGGCTCTGGCTCCAGCCAGGGGACACAGAGGACATGGGGACAGTGACTCTTGGTGCTCTTATTTAAAGCAAGTGTCCATCTTTCCCCCTTTTAGACTGTTTTTTTTTGTTTAGCTCTGAGTCATGGGGCAGCAGAGTGGCCTTTGTGCCTAGCTCCAGAGAGCTATTTCTAAACACTGTCAATGAGGACAGATTCCAGAGAAGCTGTGATTATAACCTTGGGTTATCTGGGAATCAAGCTGCTAGTACCACCTCACCTTCCTTTGTCTGGATTTACCCCTCAGGGCTTCCTGCAGGGGAAAGCCTGACTATAGGCAGAGGGAGCAGGGATGGGGATGGGAATGGGGATGTCTCCTACCTTTGAAATTGAGTTTAATCCTGTTAAAAGCAGTGGTGAGTGTCAGAGCTGGACACTGCTCAGTGAGCCCACTTCCTGTTAAAAGCAGTGGTGAGTGTCAGCTGGACACTGCTCAGTGAGCCCACGGAGAGCAGCTCCACTCCTGCTCCACACTGTCACCCTGTGGATGGGCACCCCCAGGCTGGGGTGGGGGTCTTGCTTGTCTCTGATGCTGCAGGACACCCCTGTGGGATAGATGTAGTGAGCACTGTGCCAGGGCATGGGCTGGGGCAGCCACCCATGAGATGCCTGGGCAGCCCCTGGGGATGTGGGATGCTCCTTGCTGCATGGGGTATCCCAAACCACTCCCCAAAGGAGCTGCACACTGCTGGATGCTGGTCAGGAGCTATTCCCTCTGCTGGACAGCCTGGCTGAGCCCTGCTCTGGGTGGCTCCAGCCCCTCTGTGCCGTAAAGGACAATTTGGTGTGAAAAACAGTGTTCAAATGTCCCGTGCCTGTGATGACTGACCCTACAGGAGCTGCTCCTCACCCCAGCAGCAGCAGGGCAGCTTGTGGGTGTGTGTCCAGGTCCAGCTCCTGCCCCTCCTCACTGGGGGCAGGTGTATGGCCCCAGGGGCAGGGACATGGGCCGGATCCTGCACAGCAGGTGCTGGCACCCTGCCCACTCCCACGGGGTCTGCAGGACCTGCTGCCTCTGGCACGGGGGCAGTCACTATTTCTCCCACAGCCTTCAGCATTTGTGGGGTGAACATCCCCCCAAAAGTAGTGAGGACACGTGCAGGTCCCAGTCCCAGCTTTGGGAGGGCTGAATCTGAGGGGGCTTGGACTCACCACCACCTGTGCTTGCTGGAGCTGTGACTCAAGCCCCTTCTCGGGGATGCTGGGCCAGCCCTGGGAGTGGGCACACAGCTGCAGCCTGCAGTGCCTCACACCCACTCCCTCCTGCAGGACGGACCTCCGTTCCCAGCTTGGAGGCAGAAATCGATTTTCTGGCAGATGTTCTGGCCAGGCAAGAGGCTCCTCGACCCCACCCGCTACAAGATGGCAGACCCAGGAGTAAGTGCTCACTCCCTGCTCCCCGCAGCAGCCAGACCCTGCACCCCAGGCTGGTTTGCCCTCCAGAGCTGCCTGGATGCTGCTGACAGATGTGCCCTCTCTCCCGCAGGCACCCCCGAGCCCAGCGGTGGCAGGCAGCGAGTGGCCAGCAGGCTGAGAGACGGGCGACTGCAGAGGGGTCCCACTGGCACTGCCACAGCTGCCACCCTCCCCACCACTGCCACAGGCCACAAGTTCCCAGCGGAGGCATCCCCCATCCCTGCTAATGACAACATGGTGCTTGGTGAGACCCTGGGGATGCGTGGGAAGGGGTTTCACACCCTCGCCAGGAAAGCATGGGCTGGTGGCACCATGTCGCTGGCTCACCCTGCCCTTCCGTGTCCCTCTGCCTCTGCAGGGCTGATCGTGGTGTGCACAGTGGCTGGGATCTCGGCACT